TCTGTATTCTGTAATGGAATACATTTTAAAAGTAACCTTCCCAACACTGCAGCCGTATCACTCTGCTGAAGGAAGCAGCAGTTTACCCATGACATATCTATCACTACCACCTCATCCCATGAAGCTATAGGCCAGGGACAAGATGTGTATTTCCAACGTTTAGAATGTCAAAACTTTGAAAAATCAATTTAAAAGTGCAGCGTGGAAAATCTCCATAGATTACAGAGCGTAGTCATAGATACAGTAGGATCACCATTACTCTTTAGTGAGCCCTTTTAGTCTGGAGGAGGTAAAAGGAGTCGAGGAGTCAGCGAAGGTCGCTTCTGTGCACTGACAGATATACTGATGTTGAGGATATCCTCAACGTTTTCTGTCAGTAAGCGCTGGTGTTTTTGTCAGTGTTAGCTGCTGTTAGCTGGCGTTAGCGGGTCTAACATTGCTGGACTTGGAAGCTTCAAGAACTCATACAGTATGAGAATGTAATCAAACAGTTGTAATCAATCTGTTTTTGTTATTTAGCCGACTTAACGTCAGCTGCTCGGAGATGGAAAGGTCACATGTCACATCTGCTGACAATAACTGTCACAATATCGTAAATAAATAAGAATGTTTATGCATGTTTTCGTGTGTTAGAGCCCTGAATTCAGTTCAGGAGATGAGGCTTGAGGTGAGGAGGAAGAGCGTGACGTTTTATCCAGATGCCAGACATGTTGTTACTGTCCTTTGCATTTTGATTTTCAGATGATAAACCATTGGTATGCTCCTTCATATCTTGAGTCTGAAGGTGCAGGCTTGCATTAAAACTTGCCTCCATGCACACAAACGCCTACAAGTTCCGCTCTCTTCCGCCTTTGGTGTTCTACACATTAGACCTGCATGTAGGCGCGTATAGAAAACACGATTAGGCAGAATGGCAGTGTACTTTTAGTACCAGTCCAAAGCAGAGATAAATGGAGAGGGTTGTGTCATGAAGTGCATTTGGCATAAAATCGTAGCTAAATCAAACATCTGGTTCATAAAATATGAAGAAGAAGATTCAGTATGGCATGAAATAAGCGACTTACTGTTTACAGACATCAATACTTTGATTTGCATTTAATATGTAGAGAACTTGGTCAAGGTTTGTGGTGGACACAGAAAAGAGGATATGATAATGGCAGCAGTGCGTGCCTGCCGCTCTCTGTTCGGGTTTCTTTGCATCGGCCTCTCTGATGAATCTCTTACTGGGTTTTAGAGTTTGTGAAAGTGAATATCTCCGGCCTGAGTCAGCGCCTTTTGGTCGTTTAAGAACTGCGCTGACACGTTGCATGTTTATTTTAGCACGGTCGGCTCAGCATGCTGATGAATGCAAATGTTCTGAGAGGGCAGCTGAAATGAACACATAAAACCAGATTCTTGTGGCAGCTGCGTCGGTGATTGTTCATGAGTGGTCACATGCGATCGGAGGTTTTCTTCTGTTTCTCTTGTGCCCCAGCTGAATAAAATTCAAGCAAAGAATCCAGCGGATCAGCCCCGAGAAGTAGCTCTGGCACTCTCTGTCGTATAGTCTCAACTTTAATCAGCTGAATTCTGTTTAACCACTTTGAGACGGGCTTCTTCAAACCAATGCGAACACATCGGTCAGAAGTCCAGAACAGAGTTACATTCGGATTAATTAAATGTCTTCAAGGTGTTCTCTGGGACAGGCTTTACTCTGCGCTTGTACATTTTTCTTTTATCTCTAGAGGTGCTGCCTTTTTCCTCTCCTTGCATGCTGTGAAAGGGTCGGTGGTGGTGCTTCTGTAGGCGAAGGGCTCCTCTTGTGCCTGCTATGCAGCCGATAAGGAATTCAAGTCCTTTTGTACCTCGTCTGTGCTTTTTGACTGCTTCCAGATGTGAGGAGCGGTGCCATGACACAAACCATTATGTGAGCAGCCCATGCTTAATGTGGCAAACACATTATTTATGTATTTTTTATGTCGTTTTTTTTTGTCTTTGTCATTCAGGTTTATGCAAAAAAGCCTTTATTTATTTTGCATGACTAAGTGCAACGCGATTGCATCCTTGCAGGGGATAGGGAATGCATTTTTCTGTGGGGAAATGGGTTGTGTGTTCAACAACCTTGACAGAACATCAGCCCCTGAAGCGTGGCGGACAGATTTCTCAGCACCTTCTCGTTCATCCTAATCTGCAGTTCATCATTGTCCCGCACCCATGCAGAAAACGAAGTGTCACGCTTGAGGACTGCCCTGCAACCCACCTGTCGAGTTTCACTCTTCTCCCTTCCTAACCATTTTATGCTAGGTTCCCGCTTGTTTCAGACGCAGAGGAAATGCATGTCTTCTACAACTGTCTTCTCCATTTTGCCTTCCCCAGCTCTCCTCCTCAAAGAAAAAAAAAGCAAAAAAAGCTATATGTTGAAACAAAAGGTTCTTTGTTCTTTTTTGGCCAAGCTTTTTCCTCTTTGGCTATGTCAACATTCATGTTGAAGGTATTGTTATCACAAGCGGCCCCATGTAGTGCTTACACAGAAGAAAAATAGATGATGTTGACCTTAACTTTAGGCTGCCCCATCACATAAATGTTTCCCTATCATAGAGCGAGCTAGGCCGTGCTGCTCTGCAGAGAGAGCGCTTAAACCCCATAAAGAACCCCCTTCCCTTTGAACATGGAAGAGCAAAGTCCAGTGGGAACTCGCAGAGGTAGACGTGTGTGAAGGTGTTTGTTAAATGATATACTGAGGCGCACATGTAACATGACTGAGAAAAATAGTTGACCTTTCATTTCAATAGGAGGATAGCTGCTTGTTATTTTTTTAAATTCTTCACTTCCTCCTGTTGTCATCCATATAAATCCCAAATGATGTTTTTGTTGTTGAAGTAAGAAGCCGGTACTATTAATACTGACATCCATACAAGTGGCAAAAAGAGCTTAAGGCTGAATGCATTTGTTTTTTAACAGATATAATTATTCCCAGTGTGGACTCCTGGAAAGGTTGTGCCATTGTTTTAACACACATCTGAATGTTTGCTCCCAGCAAGCTGTCAAAACTTGTGCTTTTATAGAGGCGCTCACCGTGCTATGTATTTGATTAGCAGCACCTGCTAATCAAATGTAAACAACTCCGATGTAAGCAGTGAGGGTATACTTAGTTTTCTTTATAACAGGACTACACAGTACATCTTTTGAAAACGCTGTTTTTCACTTGACTGTGGGTCTCTCAAAATTTCCAAGTTTTTTTTTTGGTGTGGTTTGTGTGCAGCTAGCTTGGTAGCCGTTGAGTGTGGTAGAAAATAAACGGTAATATCTTCAGTAAAAACCTTTAGCTGAATAAATAAATGACAGAATGAATCTAAAAATCTCAAATTGGGTTGATATTTTACATATGCAGTGTTTTGTTGTTGTTAGGTTTTTTAAATTAGTTTTTTTCTATAACATAAAGGACATTTTTAAATAGTGTGGCTAAATCAAACTGCTGAAGCAGCCGTCATGCTAAACACTGGAGCTAAGAGGAGGTGACGCTAAAGCTCGAGGTTAGCATTTTATTTCTGGCATTTGCATACTTTCATTGAAAATGTAACATTTTTACTTTAATTTATATAGCACCAAATCACAACAACGTTTGCTTTAAGGCATAAATGTGAATATTATCTTGCTGAACAAAAACCTAGCATCAAATTGTCTTGGTGATGAACTATGTTCCAGCAGTACAATTACGTAGGGTTTATAAGGTTAAAAAAACTTAGAATTATCTTAATAATTATTATCTATTTATTCACTTATGGGCTTCCCCACCAAGTAAAAAGTTAAAGGTGTCGTGCTTAAGTATAATATTATTTTGGGGTATTTTTGTAAATGGTGTTCATGGGGATATATGTGTAGTTATAACCAAAAGCCATCAGTTTATGTTGGCTTACAAGAAATATAAATATAGGTGTCAGCTTTCCAAAGACCATATGGGTTAGAGCTCTTGTGGAAGTCTGAAATTATGGCGTCCGTTTCAGTAATTTCATTTTTCTGTGTATGTTTTGGTTCCACTGTGCTGTGGTCCATCTGTTGAGCACAAATTGCTCTTCACAAGCTCTGCAGCTTGCAGGCCAATTTGCAGGCGATGAGTGAGGGGAACAAGGTTTGTGATTGTCAGCACATACACCCCCACCCCGCCCAAACGTGTGGCCTTGGCCCATTGAAATCTAAAACGGACAGCTAGGTGGAGGAAAAACTCGACATCCGGCACATCTTTTGTTGCAATTACTGCCAGCTATTGATCTCGATATAGTAATTTCACTATACTGAGGTGTTATTGTTTTTCTTTTATACAAGACTGCCAGTGCTTCATCTTCTACGTTTACTCTTTTCTAGTAAACCACGGAGTAATGTAGCCCGACCCGTAACCAGGCGCACCAAGGCGGAGGACGTCATGCATTTGGCTGTGGTGGCTTGTGGGAACCGTCTGAACGAGACCCTCACCATGGTAAAATCAGCCCTCCTGTTCAGCTTAAAGAAGATCAAGTTTCACATTTTTGCTGAGGACCCCTTGGCCCTGCAGTTTAAAGAAAGGGTAAGAACCCTGTAATGTTTTTTGAGCCAAAAACCTGTATTTTTTAATGCACCTTGCTGTCTGCTTTGCTGTTCAGGATCTTACTCTGATTTGTGAGTTACCACAGCACATGTTAAACACTCCTCCTTTCTTTGTAATAGATGACACCGAGATCACAGCAGTTCTAACTCGGAGCCTCTCTTACTCACTCTTGTACCCTTTTATCTCAAGGCCGCGGCGTAATATATCACCGAGACACGCTGCGTTATTCCGCCTCCCCCGCCTCAAAGTCACCTTTGCGGAGGTGCGTTGGCGTGACTTTGATTAGTTCCACTGATACTGTAACTAACAGCCTTTTAACATTGCTTCAATTGATGGGCCACAAATATCAACAGAAGTACCTTTTAAACAGCTTTAAATCTTAATCCTAAAAGCCCCGTGAGCCAGCGTTCCTGTGTGCGGTGAATCACTGCCATGTGTTGAAAATTCTCATGAGGGGGGAGTCGTGGTAGCCGAGGCCTGTAATAATGTGACACATATGCCAGGTTTGAGCAGAAAGGAGCCACAGGAAAGGTTAGTCTCACCTCCCTTGATCTCTTATCCTCCTCCTGCTTGTGGCGCTCTCTCTGTCTCTCTCGCTCTTCTCAGGGCCAAACTGTTGAACTGGTGACTATGGAGAGATTTAACGCCTAACTGGTCGGATAACGCGAGCTTCAGCGAACCTCGCCATGCTTTAAGATGGTGCCTTCCCTTGTTTAGATGATTGCGTTTTAATAAAATAGCAGCTGGCTGCTGCACGCGTACCGAAAAGAGCCAATCAGCAGCCGGAGACGTGACTTCATTGTTTGAAATGGCCACCTGCACAAGCTGATAAGTCTGTGAAAAGAGCGAAAGGGAGATTAGCTTTCAGTCTAATTGTTGTTTATCCTGACTCTTTCTCACGCAGCCTGCCTTACTCAAAGTCAGTTAGACCCTTTTTTTTTGGCGTAACACACCGCATGTTGCTTTACTTTCAGCTGAACCAGTGGCCTCGCTCTGTCGCAGCCAAGTTCCAGTACAGAATCTACTCCATCTCCTTCTCGGTGGGAAACGCTGACGAGTGGAAGAAGCTCTTCAAACCCTGCGCTGCTCAGAGACTCTTCCTCCCCGTAAGCCTGACACATTTATCTCACCTAATATCCCCACCATGCTTAATGTCATTAGCCGGTGTTAAGAAAAAAATGTTAATCCATCTTTTTTCTGCTTAAACAATCTTATTACCCTCTTCACTGGATGATTACAGCTAGATACTGGCTTGTTTATTGATGATTTCATACCTTCTCAGCAGCAATTATGTAACAAATAAGAATTCCCCAGAGAACAAATCCAGTAATTCCATCAAGTGAGACTCATGCCCGCCTATTGATTTCCTTTTTCTGACACGGTTCATTGCAGTAACAGCCAGCGTTCTTACCATGTAATGAACATGTGGCAGATCAATAGGTGTTTTTTTTTCTCTTGCTGCAAGGCAATCAATAGACATTCACTATTCACTTTATTAGGCTTTATTTTAAGGCGTAACTTACCATATATGGACTTCACCCGCCAACGCTGTATAATCCTCTAGTAGGTTTTGCTGGAACACACAGCAAACTGTACTATTTCTCAATTAATTCTGCTCAAAAGTACAGTGGCCCTGAAAGGTCAAATGCATTAAAACAAATAGAAAAGGCTGCAAAAAAGGACTCAAAAGCACAGTGGAAGTTCAATATAAAAACCTCACAATTGAAGCAATTTTGACATGCGAAGGATGGCACTGTGACATGCTTAGAATAAGCAGAGGACTCACTGATGTTGTTGGGGAGAAAAAGACGCGGTTTTTCAGCATCTTTCTCTTTATTGACATTTTCTTAAGTTGCAGTCCGTTTGACCGCTCAGGGTCGCCATGCAAAAAGGTTCAAAAGGCAGCAACATAAAAAACATTGTGGAGAGCTCTGGTTCAAGTCTAACCACAACTACAGCATCCTCTTTAAGCACATGTGTCAGTCAAAGCAGCTACAAATCTTTACCAGTCTCCAAATGGATGAGGTATTTAAAGGAAAAAACATATTTACGGTTTCTCTCCGTATATGAACAACAGGTTCTGTGTTTTGTTTCATTTATCCTTCCATGTAAACTCTAGTTTGTACAGATTGGATTGGTGCTGGTTTAATTGTTTTTCCAAGTAACGTTGTTTGACTTCGTAAAGTCACGCAACATTCCTGTAGCAGTGTAATGAAACCCAGATTTCCTCTTGAAGAACTAAAACTTGTGCACTGCATCCTCCACTTTGTTCTTTAGTGTTCTTCCTCTGCATCTTCCTGTCAGCTGAGCCAGGAAAAAATAAAGCAGTCGTCTGTTTTGCTGCTACAGAGCAGATACTACAGTATGTTTTGAAGGAAATAGCTAGCTTCACGTGTTGGTTGGGATAGTTGGGGTTCATTAATACTGACATTCATTTACATGTGCTCTGCCGTCTGATGATACTGCCTAAGAGAAGCCTGTATAATGTAAACAGAAGTGGTCCTAGCACAGAACCCTGTGGTACTCCATAATTAACTTCAGTGTTTGAAGAGGACTCTCCATTTACATAAACAAATTGGAGATTATTAGATATACATGATACAAACCACTGCACCGGAGTACTTGTAAGGACCCGAAGTCTTTTTGCAACCGCTCTAACAGTAATTTTCCTCCAGCCCAACTGGACAAACGAACAAACTGTATTATTGTAGGGTCTGTAACTTAAAATATAAAGTGCTTTGAGGCAACTGCTGTTAGCATTTGGTACTATATAAATAAAATTTAATTGAATTTGGGAATTAATTTTCCC